TTATTTCTCTCTGTTTCATGTCATCTGTGCATAAAACTCATCATGAAAGTTTCTTGAAAGAGACAGCTGTCGTTCTCAGTGACAAGCAGCCAATCAGACGTCAGGGTTTCTATTAAGTCGGTTCTATTTCCGCCCACTGAGTTTGACTGTTAAATTTCATAATTATATTTTTTAAGGAACGCTCCTGCTGCAGCCATTTGTTGAAAGTTTCAGATTGTCATGCTCTATCCAGCCGTGTGTGGCTGCAGCTGACTGATCATCACCTGCAATAAAACTGATGATGCAATTAAACTGTTTTCCTTAGATAGAAAACTTTGAACCAATGTGAGTGGATGATCTGGCTGCATTGTCTCAATAAAGTGCCTTGAGATGACATGTTATTAATTGGATCAACATAAATAAACTGAGTTGAATTGAATTGACCTGCTGCCTGGTTACCTGGGGGAGGGTTTATGGTTTGGGGAGGGTAGGAGTTGGGCTCATCTTATTTGTTGTAGTAGGAACATTTAATAAATTATGCATAATAATTTATTTTATATTGACAACATTCTGGAAACAGGATGTCAATTCCTCTTAAAGGTGCAGTAGGAAATCTTTTTTGATGCAAGATCTCCCCACAGCCGCTTAGCAAGCACTGAAATAGAAGGTCTGGAAGTGAAACTAAAATAAATGTTCCCCGCTACAGTGAGAAATGAATGAGTAACCCCAACCAATCACAAAAGACTGTCCGTTCTACACGATTGGTTCCTGACACGTCAATCATGGTCGTCTGCTTGTCCCTCCCCCCTGTGCTCGTACCCTGACACATGAGCGAATCGACCCCCCGATGCTCGTGCAGGACGCCATCGCTGGAAGCTAGCCACTGTTATGCTACGTTCACACCTAAAGCAGCAAGAGCAGCAAAAACGCGCGTGCTGCTTCATGTTTGATGCTTGTACAAGTTTAGTTCTAATGCGCGACTCAGGAATCTTGGCTAGGGTGACTAGATTTGATTTGGGTTTCTGAACAGGAGGACACTTTTTTTCCTGGGGGGGGGTTCGACTACTGGGGCCGCTGATTGGACCGGACCTCAGCAGAGAGCCATGAGCCGCCGGTCGGGGACAGGTAAGGCAGGCGGGGAAGCACGGGGCCACCTGTGTCCAGGATACCGTCACGCGCTGTAGTCGACCAAAAGCCCAGTTGCTGCTCTAGCTGCGTGGTGAAACAAGTGGGTCTGATGCATGTTGGGTGGAGCTACCCTATCCTTTCTTCTTTGCCTGGAACAATGGCAGCTATATTTGCTGGGTAGAAAGTAGTTTGAATCTATTTTGAAGTGACAAAGTCCACCTGGAAATATCGTTTTTGTTCAGTCAGTTCATCCAGATTACCATCCTGCCTTCAAATATTATTTCTTTCATAGCCGCTCAGACCCCCGTACACCGACGGTGCGCTGTCACTGGGAATCCCATTCAACAGCAGCCTCTGGCCCACTCGCCTCCTGTTTACCGGTTTGCCGTGGCAGCTGGAAGGTGGTTTTCAGGTACGTAATCCAAACTGCAGGCTCCAGGATAATAAAAGCGAACATATTCTACTGGCAGTTTTGTACATTTTAAGTTAATTAGTGCGTTAATAAACTGTTTCAGAGGAGTGATCATAGCGTTTTGCATCATCAGCAGTGCTCCTCCTGCTCTAGACGTCCTGCAGACAGCATGCACGTTCACAGAGGCGTGCTCAGACATTTTGGGGGGCAGGTGCTCAGGAGGGGGGGGGCACTTTTTAGCGCACGTGGAACACTTAATTATAAAAAAAAAAATACACGCATGTTGAATGAAATTTGACTTTTATTTGTAACATTCTCTAAACGTCAGTTTTCAATGGAAAAAAGTCACATCACCAACAGAACAGACTAAAGCATCAAGTCTGTTACAATAACAGACTTGATCATT